CCCCAAAACCCCAAAACCCCAAAACCCCAAAACCCCGTTTAGGAGTTATAAGATAGAATTTTTAGAGATTCATACCACCGAAATCTATTTTCTCAAAATTACCATTGACAGTCTTCCCCTTCTGCCCTTCCTTAACATGTGTTTCTATAAAACATTAGAGAGGTCAAGAGTCAACCTTTAAAGGCATGAGTGGAAATGGTCAATCACGACCTTAAGGAGCCAGTTTAGTCTAACCTGATTGTAGACTACCCTCTAGGAGAGATTTAAGCTCACTTACTCTTTGAAATATTCACTTTTAAATTCACCTTGTTGATCTTCTTTTTCTTCTGAAAATTATTACTATAAGTACCAATGCAGGGATGATAAGAGAATTAGCAAACTCAGCAGAAGGATTACTGTGTTTGATTGGAGAAACATTCTGGGATCTTATCTGAGGAAAGTTTGTGCTAGTGTTCCTTGATCCATTAATCACAGAACCTTTGAGGTTATAACAAAAGTTACTATTAATCTTCCTATTTGAACCTCTTGGTAGTGACAAAATATTTTCCCGTTCTTTAATTTTCTTATTACTTGTTAGTTTACTCTATTTTTAAGCTGGCCAAATTACCATAATTTTAGGCTCCAATTTAACATCAGGCATCCTACTCATTCTCTCAATCATGATTTGAGGAGTAGGCTTGATTGACTGGATTCTCTTGATAATACTCTTATGAGCTACCATATTTTTATGCTCGTTGAAAGACTTCTCCATATCCATTTTCTCACTCTTGTCATACTTGGCTGGAGATAAAACAGTGCTCATAGTCTGTAACTTAATCATGTTATCTTTTAAAATCGAGATATCACTTTGAAGTCTCTCAAAGTTTTTAGAATTCATATTCACAATTAAACTTGTGTCGTTAGAGTTTTGGTACTCTAGCTCCTCATCGATCCCGCCCTTGGATTTTCCTGGCAAATGGCTGATTTTCTTTTATATTATTTTTGGTTAAAATACCTCCTCTAATTGTCGAAGTCTTACTTCAATGCAATCTTCTAGTTCCTCTAACCTGCGATTTGCTGAAGAAGGAGTATTCTTCCTCAGAAAGCTCATTCTAGAGCCTCTTTTGGCTGATTTGATTTGTAGAGAAGACCCTGCATTCCTCTCATCTAGTTTCAGAGGACTCAAAGTTTTCTTCGAATTTTTGTCACGAATCTCATCAATAACATTATTAATATTTTCTTGTTCCTGAATGAGGTCATTAACTATTACGAATTATTTCCTATTGCGCTTACTAAGTTCATTCACCTCATTTGTCCTCTTCTCAAAATTGTTCTGTGCCTGTTCAACTTGTGCCTGGAGGGCCTCCATAACTTTGCTTCCTTGGCTGATCTTGCTTTCTTGGTCTCTAAATTTTTGGAAATAATCATTTTTGAATTCTTCCTCAAGATCCCTAATTTTCTTATTAAATTGAATATTAATAGTTGGCAGTTCATCTCTCAATACTTGGATTTGTTCTTCAGTATCCTCGGAGACCTCCTTGCTTTTCTTCTTCAGACTGAAGAGCTTGTCCTCAACGAATAGCTGGTTCTCTTCGAATTCAGAGAGCCTCTTAGTGATTTTGGCCTGTTCCTCTTTGAAGCTGTCAGTCATGGATTCCTGAAGATTTTCAATTTTGGTGACAACATCTTCTTTGTCAACTTCAAATTTCGAGTTAAAGGAATCAGAGAGCTCCTGAGTCAACTTTTTGATTGCTTTATCAGTCATAGTTTCAGCTTTATCCATGACCAAGTCATGGAGAGTCTGGAGCTCTTTATAAATATCAATTTTGAGAAATTCAGAGATCCTCTCTTGTCTTGTTAGGAAATGATCCAGATTGCCTACAGAGTTCATGAAGGTCTGTAAATTAGCTGTTTAGCATACCTGTATATCTTCCTTAGCTGACTTGTTTTCAGACACCATGCTTTCTATCTCCATTCTATTCTGAGTTATTGCCTGCTGGAATTGTGACTCAAGTCGAGACATTTGAGCTAGAAGTGTATCTCTGGACTTTTTCATTTCCTTCTCTTCTATCTGAAACTTATTTCTTTATTCTAGTATCTTGAGTATTTCTAAATGAAGTTTAAAATTCCTAAAATTACAAGGAGTTTGAAACATCGGAAAACTTGGCATTATTCACTTTAGCATCCTGAATCAGAGCGTGGATCGCTTCAATAACACATACAGGTATATTTTTCCAGTTTTGAGGTTCTATTTCTGATAAAGGCGAATCCGACCAGGATTCCCTTAAAGAGGTAACGTTTACTAAACCGCTTATCAAGTCTAATGTAGAGTCAGACATTAAAATTTCAATATTATTAATATCAAAGGGGTTTTGGGGTTTTGGGGTTTTGGGGG